ACATATATGAGTGACACCTTGGCCAAGTGATTAAAGAAATTAAAGAGGATTATAATACTGGTTACAAAACTATGTAAATTTGCTACGTAAGTCTCTGAGTTGTACAGTCACAATGAATTTTTATAGATAAGATACATCTCAATAAAGGTGAAAAGATAGTATTAATTGGACTTATCTTTTTGTTGGTCAGAGTCAAGACTATGACTAGTTACCCTGTACAAAAAATGAGGAAGGACTGGAAATTTGTTGCCCTTGAAATTCTACTTAGTTGATGGACCTTTGGCACAAATGTTACAGGGCCCCTAGGAATAAGGAAGTGAGTAGGACTTAGCACTTCCTGGATATCTTTAGGCTGCACGGCTTCCCTCTCTTACACTTGATTGCATTACTGTCCTCCTTAGGTACTAAGATATTATTTTTTCTGCCAGTGCCAATGGGCCAGGTTACCAGGTCACTGCCATTACCCCTGCTAATTATTCAATTAAAGTTCATAATCGTTCAGGAGATAAGGCAGTAAGTGGTTCTGTCGGATGTCCTTTGCATGTCCCACTGCAGAGCTCTACACAAGAACATCTGACTCGGTATGGCCACGTGATGCTGCTGCTTCTCTGGGAAGCCACTGTCCAGAACATGGTGCATCCTATTACCTGTCCAACTGCACAGCCTCCCTGCATCCCACTGGATGGATGTAGAATTGTTTTGTGACTGAGATGGGCTTGCTTAGACCACTGGGACTCCTTTATTTATTCCCTGGAGTCTAGAGGGAAGCAAGTAAGATCCATTTCCTGCTGTACTCTTTATCTATTTTATGAAGTTCTAGAGAAGCTTGGAGTGAGTGATGGGTGTTCTTCACTTCCGTACTTGCGGAAGGCAAGAGCTTTTACTATTCAGTTTTCTGTCAAGTAATGAAATCCCCCTGATGGCAGCTGGAATCAGTCACTAGCTGCTTCCACATGGCAGGAGTATAATTGGGAACACAATCAAATCTATCTCCCCTTCCTTTTGATCTGGTGCACTGGAGCAAATGCTCTTCTCAGCCTTTGCCCCTGGTGACAAGGCCTTCACAGGGCAACTCACTACCTAAAACTCTGCTTTAGATAACAGAGCTGGGAGATGAAAATTTAGAAATGCTAATTCAGAATGAGTGACTTATATTACGAAAATCTTACATAGTTCCTCACTTTTATTGCAGCACTTACATCATGATGAGGGGCAGAGAAAACAGAACTTATATTAAAAAACCCTACTTTTTATTATTTTCCCCGTGAAGCTTCTCTAACCTCTTTATTAGACACAATATGTGTCAGTTCTTCAATGACAGAAAAGTACCAGGGAATGGGGAATATTTTCTGTCTCTTGCTATGAAAAACCCAATGACCTCATCTGTGTTCTCTCCTTTCAATGAAAGATACACCCATCGTCAGCCTTCATTTTCCCATTTTCCAATGATGGTGCAATGCAGGACTTACATGGCTTTGTGATCTTATAAAATCAATGACAACCAAAAGTGCTTCCCTTTTGGCTCTGACCTTGTTAGGGGTCCCTTCCTGCAAAGGGGAGGTCTGTATCTGCATCTGTAAGTGGGGCAGAGTACCACTGATTTGGACTGAAGTAATTTGCCTAGAAATAACTGCTTTCCTTCAAAACCCTGCCTATGTTACTGGATTTGGAAGTTGGCTGGAAGCTGAATCTGTGGCCAAGGGGGTGCTCCAGTCTGTGTTCTTAATCCCTTTCCATATTGAAAACTCCTCTTTATCCAGTCCTAGTTATACCTGTCTACAAAGTAATCAGTGCTCAGACATGTTAGGCCTGTGATATTTTGGTGCCATTCTTACAATTCTTCCCTTCAGTCCTCCTTTCTACCTTAAAGCTAGTCTGATCTCTGCTCTGAGCAGTGAACAGGCTTCTGGTTAAGTGAACTTAGGAGAGAGGAAGTGTTTGTCTTTGGGTCTACAAGGCCATGGGTTCGTGCACCATCTCAGAGAAGCAGAAGGGAGATGGCCATGCTGAGACCACTGCAAGGTACTCTCAAGTCTCTGAGGCGTCGAGATAAAGATAAAGTGAACACAGATGGATGAATTTGGAGGGAAGAAAAAGACCTTAAAGACAATATTTTGTAGGCTCAATCAGGGCAGGGCAAGGAAGGTTTGTTGGAGTTAGTATGCCTGAAACTAAGAGGTGTTTTTGCACTTAAAGAAAAATTGTGCAGAGAGTGAGCAATGCTAAGTTTTAGACTGAAAAACATTTGGAAGCAAAGTTGGACTCTCATGTCCCCCTAAGGCTGTGGGGAAGGCTTGGTTATGAAGGGCTTCTGAGAAGTGACTGGTTCACGAGAACTGTGACTTCATCAGCGCTGACATTACTGGGAGGTGACAGAAACTGGGAGTGGGACCTGGCTGAAAGGAGCATCTCCTTTCCTGGGGGCATCTCCCTGGAAACAGCTCTTTCCTCTCTCTCTCTCTCTCTCTCTCTCTCTCTCTCTCTCTCTCTCTCTCTCTCTCTCTTGTGGCTGCCAGGAGGAATGGCTTCCTCTGCCATGTTTTTTTATAATAATATTCTGTCTCACTTTATGTGTGCAGGAATGGAGTCAGCTGGCCATGGATTGAAACCTATAAAACCGTGAGACAAAATAAACCTTTTCTCCTTTGTTTTTCTTGGATATTTGACTATCACAATGATGAAAAGCTGATCAGTACAAAGACTACTGTTTAATTTTAGAAGATCTAGAGAAAGAAAAGGAATGCCTAATGTTCACCAAGAATGAATGAGGTGCTAGGACCTGGGTTGAGAATGTTCCATATTTACAAATTTCTTTACCTACAACAATCCTGTAAAATACTACTACTTCATTTTTATAGGTGAGACCTGAGACTAATGAGGTTATGTACTTTGTTCAAGATCAAATAACTAAGTAAACCATATAAGTGGTAATCAAAACTTTAAATACTCAACATCCATTCTCTTCAGATTAAATTATATTTAGAGATATTTTACATACTGCTGAGCAAGATCTTGATGCACCCAGTGGAAGTAAATTACAACTATTTCTCAATTTTAGGCAATAATATATCCATCAATGGCCTTCACCGATCTTTAAATAACATAGAGCAGAATATGCTATATTTTTTTGGTCCGTATATGTCTCAGAACACTTGGCAAGAGTACACTATACATGGTAATTGATGAGCCACCTATTTCTGTGAGTACAGAAATTACCCAGGTGTGGACGATAATTCCAGAAAAAGCTACAAATATATTTATAAGCAATAAACACACTTTGAGCCTTTCTTTTAGAGGGGCTGCACGGCAGATTCACCAGCAGACCTGAGCAAACCTCAGCACCTGAAGCACAGGGACTCAGCTCCCTAAGCCCTGGGTGTGGTGTTTGTGATCATGTTTCATTGGTCAGTCTCTTCCTCTCCTTCCCCGGTGCCCTCTCCCTGCTGTTTCTCTTTCCCTGCTTTGAACCTGTTGGCAGCTTCAAATAGCTCCTCTTCAAAGAGTTCAAGAGAAGCCTGCTGTTACTATTGTCTTGGTTAGCTCCAGACAGGCTTCTATTAATCCTATTAAATTTGGGTGAACAAAGGGTAGCCAGTCTGTCACAGAGCTGAGCCATAACTGGATAAACATAAACAGAAGAGTTAATCCTGGAAGAAGCCACTCTTTGCTAGAAGCTGGCAGGATGTCAGCAGTGCCCTTGCTAAGGCAGGTAGGAGGGTGGATGGCAGAAGAGATTTAACAGGACTGGTATGAGCATCTGGACTCTGTAGAAAGAGGCAAATAAAGATTGCAACTGGAATACATTAAGAGAAAAGCAAATGTCTTGTCCACTGAAAAACAGGCATTAATAATATCAGTCTTTAATCCATCCCAGGGCCCCTTAGCTTGCCTTCTTTCTTGTTTACTTTCATCTTTCCTGCAAAGCTGCCTACTAAAGGTCCCTTCCCAGACCAACCTTGGGTCATGGGGGCAGAAATACTGTTGCTAAACAGATATCCAAGGGAGTAGCATGTGTTCCTGGAGTACAGTATGACAACATAATCCTAGCATGGATGGATGAGGTCAGTGTGGGGTGATGTTAGCTTTTCTAGCATCTACTGAATCATTTGAGGGGAACAGCAATTGAAAAGAATGAAATACAAACCTGTGCAACGCTGCCACAAAGACTATGTGGTCTAGATCTGAGAAAAAGAATCCTTTTCTGGTAGGGTCAGTGAGGCACAGAGTTGGTCATTAGCTGACTCAGCTCCCTTTCTGTCCCTACCACAAATTGGGCAACTGTGTGACTTCAGATTGCCCAGCATTTGAGTAATGAAGGTACGGATCCAGCTGATATCTAAGATCCTTCTGTCAAAGGCAAGGATTTGTCCTATATATAAAGAGGTCTTATTACCATAAGACCACAACCTTGGAGACACCGCACTCTGAGTTGCTATATTCTTGTCACCCTATGTAGAGTATTGTGCTGACTTCTTTGAATGTAGGCAAAGTGTTGGCAGAGGAATTAGAACCAGTGGTTGAAGCAAAGCTGACAATTGTTCTGGGAACAATTCTGCTCCAAGACATGAACATAGAATTCCCATCACCTGTAGATCTCAAAGTCTTTCGTGATAATATGGACAATGGGAAGTGACTGCCCAAAGAGTACTCAATGACCATAGCTCACAAGTTATGTTCCCTAATACATTTTTAACTTTCAGATATTATCATTCTCATGTTGTTCTTTCTGCCCAGCATGTTTCTGCACTTTTTGTGATCAGAATTCTACTTACCCCAAGTCTATAAACTCCCACCTTGAAAAACTTTGTTTGCATATTCTTGGTTAGCAGTTACAGCACTGACCTCATTCTATCCATACTGTACTTCAATTCCATCACAGTTACAGATGATAAACTCCCTGCTGGGCAAGTCCGTAACATTTATCTCTGTGTTCTTAGGCCTGCTTGACATACACACTTACTCAATGAACATTTTGTAACAGAACTGAACAGGTTTTTTACCTGCTAATGTGACGGCAATGGAGACAGAGTCATATCCTAAGGCATTTGTGGCATTGCAAGTGTAGAAACCCACATCAGCTTCCACTGGTGACAAAATCTGTAAGGAATCATCTGGCTGTAGAAGAATCCTAGAGCAACAGAAAAGAAACATTGACCTGGTTAGGTCAGCTGATTCCTTTTTTAGCATTCCATATTGGGGAAGCAGGAATACTCCTTGGGGTATTTTCAGGACTGTGCTTTCACAACTGACCAGGAGCAGGACTCAGGATGATTGAAGGGGATCACCACTCAATTTCAGCATACAAAACAGGCATAAATTAAAATTTACTAGATCCCCAAATTCATTAGGATAGTTGCTTCCCTACAACACTACTCTTTTCCTTACAGAAAGTGTGAATTGAATACCTACAACAGGAGGCTCAAAGATGGCTGTTTCTTAATTTTATTCTGGTCTTGCTATGATTTAAGTAATAGTAACTGGCAAAAATCTTCATTTCCTACATTTCTGTTTATCAACTTCTAAAACCCAGTTGAAGTATACTTTGCATCTGAGCAGAAGAAGTTGCCACGCTAAGATACACAGCGACCTTCCATCATGCTCCGGTATTTCTAGTGCCTCTTGTTAGCAATGCTGGCACCACAGATGGGGAATGAAGTGAGAGACGGGAAGGAGAATGAGGAAATTATAAACAAGTGGGAGGAGCATTTGATATTGATCAGCCTCCCCAAGCTTATTGGACCTCCATATTCAGATGCATTTTTTAAATAGAAATATACAAAGCATATAACCTCCCACCCCACACACCTTGGGCCTGAACCACACATTTTTGTCTTGTTTTTGGACTGGGTTAGCTTTTGTAACTATATCAGTTCCTCCAGGTACTGGCATTGTTAACTAAGCCATGATGTTTTCTGTCCCAATAAGAAGCCTGAAAAAGAATTCCTGCAGAGTTGGTGAAGAGAACGGAGGGACCCATTGCACCAGGCACAAAACCATAAGGATTTAAATTAGGATAGGAATGCTGAAAATGGAGAGGAAGGAATATAGATATGAGATTCACCACCCATTAATGCTTTTGTTGCACAAAGTGAGTACACAAATATAATGAAGTTGTGGTTTTTGCCTTCACAAAACTCTTAATTATTATCCTGAGACAAAATCTACTTGGGACCAAGTCTAAACTGGTTATTTCTTGTGTGTATTTGTAAATTATAAAACTGAGCTCTCTAGGTCAAGAGAGCATTTGGCATTTGGAGGTAGAGTTAGGATGTGAAATTGACTTTCTTGCTCTTGATTCAGCACCCTCCTCCCCCATGATACATTTGGAACCACCAGAAAATTTAACTGGTTGTACTTTCTCTTTGTAATAAAAAAGTTGCCCACTTGGATATTCCATTCTTTCCCAAACAATCTACTACTGTATTAGTTCTTTTTGGGGTTGGGTGAATGTATGGGTGGAGAGTTGACTGCTATTGTTGCTACAAACCATAAGATTGGTAGGCTAGGGCTTGGAGGCTGCCACTAGGGGGAGCAAGAGTTCTGGAGATGATTCTCATGAAGGGCTCTCTAGGAAGCATCACAAGGCAAAATAAAGATGGTGTGAAGATCAAGGTTTGCTCCAGTCTCTCTATCTAATCTGACAAGTAGGCAGAAAGATTCCAGGAAAAAACATTGTATTGAGGCATCTAGTTTATTAATTTAACTTAATTTGTCAGTAGCTGATTCCTTTCAGCTTGTATTTAGGTTTTGAATTTGACAGGCCTATTGTAGAATGCATAGGCCCACTAGTGCTGCTTTTGAAGTAAAACCAGACTATATTTTTCTGGGATGTTTTTTGAATTTAAGAAATCAGAAGATGAGGGGACACAGAATGGACATAACCTACACAGCAAATGGTACTGTAGTCACATTACGTTTATTAATATTCCTTGCTTTCTGCCCACACCCACATCTCACTTCCTTTTTGGTTTAACTGGCCTAAAACTTAATTGCTTGATTTCTTTGACAATACTTTTAGCCAGAAAATAAAGGAACAGTTTTGCTTTTTGTGTGGCCTTGTAAGCTTCCTTGTGACAACACATCTTTTCAGAATTCTACCAATTAAGGACCAGTTGAGAGAGTACAGAAAGCTGTGTTAGCTACACAAGTGAGAATCCTTGTCATGCAAGTGTGTAAGATATGGACAAAACGCTCATGGGCCAGACGGACCAAATATAATCTCCTTGAGTTTAAGGTATCTCCTCTGGATTTGCAATGTTCCATGATAACGATTTCTTATTTGACAAAGAGGTGGCTCTGAGTGTACAAAGGAAAGTCTCTAGCAATTCTGAATGGGGGATGGCCTCATGATGTCTTTTCTATCCTTGGTTCAACTCTGAATACCATTATCTTGTGCAAGCCCTTTTTTCAAATTGACCTCCATAACCAACCACGAGAAGCTTTTGAATGGAGGAAGACTTTTCGAACGGGAGTGAGATGGTCTTGGGCAAATCATTCAATAATGATACACCTGTAGGCTTGCTTTGTACACCAAGGATAATACTGACCTCAGGAAGCTCTGATGAAGACCAAATGAAAATATATAGATTCATTTTTACTCTTTTCCAAGTACAAAAGCATCAGCTTAAATATATATATATATATATATATATATATATATTTAATAAATAGTTTTTTGCTCATTTTTTAATAGTACAGTTGGTGTAGCCTGCTTGGAATCTCCCATCTGAGAGGCCTGTCTGCTATATTTATCATGATATTCCATTTTAGGACTCTGATGCCAATGGGCAAGTATTCTTAAACCCATGATAGGCCTAAACATAGGCCTGGAAGCTGGGAATCATAGGTATATTGTTTCTCTTCAGGAGAGTGGCTTCCACATGTTTTAAAGCATAATATGCCCCACATCCTAACATAAATGTCTCACTCTAGTCAAGATGGACTCTTTGACTGTCGCTAGCGTTAATTTGGGGTGTTCCTCTTGCCTACCCTTTTAGATTCTCCCCATCCCTTAAGAAGTAGTTCAAGTTCTAGTTCTTTGTGCTACCACGGTCCTTTCCAGATATTGCAGTTCTAAGCCGGTCTGAAAGCCCTTTCCAAATCGGAATCATATTTTATCAGATTGTAATTTATTACCTCAAGGGTGGGGACTCTCATACTCATTTCATAGTTCACTGTTCAGCACAATGCTGGCAGGCTAAATAAATATTTAACAAATACTTATTGAATTACCTTCAAAACAATGGGATTAAAGCCAGGAATGGTGACAAGGCCTACAATCCCAGAACTCTAGGAAGCTGAGTGCAAATTCAAGCCCAGCCTAGGCAATTAATTTAGCAAGATCCTGCCTCAAAATAACAACAACAACAACAACAATAATAGGGATGGGGATATAGTACAGTGTGAAGCCCTGGGTTCAATCCTCAGCACATAAAAAAACGCCCCAAACACCACCACCACCACTGCACCCATTACCACCACCATGGGGTGAAAGTGACCACAGACCCAAGACAGTATAGTGGACAGCAGATTGGTAGGTGCCAGTGCAAGCTCTATACTGCTTAGTAGTTTTGTAGACTAGGGCAAGGAATTTACTGAACTAATCAGCAGCAAAAGTCCCCTGGTCTATAAAATGAGGATGATAGTGCCTTCCTAGGGATGTTATAAAAACTTGACACGAGTAACATGTTTAAAGTACGCAGTAACTGCATTGCTTTTGATCACATACAGAAGCGCGGCCATAGAAGTGCAGGTTATTATTTTGTTACACTGCTGCTGATGCTGGGACCATCGTCATCATCACTATTCATTCTTCACAGCTGAACCCATATATTCTGGATATTGTGCAGAGAAGTTTTGATATTAGTAAAGGAAGAGACAGGAAGGCCTTTTCCTTATTCTGAAACGAAGCTTTCTTTTCCTGCTTAAGGATCCCTAAGATTAAGCATACTCTAAAGGGGAAATGGGAACCAACATTTATTAGACAAGCATATATACTTTATGTGATTTTATTCTTATTACCAAATCACCAGATTGGCAATACTTTCCCATTTTAGAGAGAAGGCAAAAACTCAGAGAAGTTAAATAATTTTCTCATTTAGTGGAATGGTGGAATGACCTTTAACCTGTGCTTAAATTGACCACATCCTGGCATCCACTGGGGTGTAATAGGAAGGCAAGTGGTTTGGCCTTATTTTCAGTGGGGGAATAATTTGCGCCTAGGTTTGTAGTTACTCAGGGAAATGGGCAATCACCTAAGTCTGGTTTTTAGATAGTTTCAAGCAGGAGGTAGAAAGAATGCTGCAAGGAAACAGCCTCTAGGCATAAGAATATTTTCTGAAACCCAAAATTATAGTAGTCCAGAGGCTTGCATGGTTGTTTTATTTTGCACAGATATTTGAGGGAATTGATTTAAGGTTCATGAAAGGTGTCACATTACCATTTGGCTAGGGTGACTTTTTTATCCTGTTTTACTATAATTGCCAACTAAAAGTTATTTAATGCCAGAAGCTTCGCAATGATTGCTCAGATGGAAGTATAGAAAATATTTTCAGAATGGGAAAGGCCACCTGACCACACATTCTTAACCTTGTCCTCAAATATTTTTGCCAACATTTTTAGCTTTAGACATTCATGAAGTCTTGAATTTGCTAATGTATATAGTTTTATCTGCTTGCTGGATAATTTATCTCAAACTACAAATCTCTAAATGAAATGACTGACTGGATTTATTATTTATCTAGGGTAGGAGAATCTTTGAACTCCAGCTGGCTTCGTCTTTTGTAGTTTCTCAGGAGCTCTACTGTGTCTATGGCTGCTATCACACTGAAGGCAGGATTGAGCAGCGAGGACAGAGATACGGTGGCCCACAGACTCAAAAATGTGTGCTACTTGACCTTTTACCAAAAAATGTGGTTAACCTCTGACCTCAGTGTGGAAGGATTTTCACTTTCAGTTTGTTTCAGTTTTCTTTCTCTTCCCGTCTCCCCATCCTTTTACCCCTTCCTTTCCCCTTTCCTTCCTTTCTTGTCTTTTCTTTCTTGTAGTACTGGATCCTGAACTCAGGGACTCCATACTGATGCATATCCCCACATTTTTTATTCTAAATTTTCCACAGTCTCACTAAGT